GTAAACCAGTCTTTTTTTATAATGCTAATGGTTCTATTAGAAGTAACTGAAAAGTAACGATTCGTTACTTTTTGAGTAACTGTAACATGTTACTTTTCAGAGTCGGTGACTTGTAACGGTAACTAGTTACTTTTTGAGAGACAAAAACTGTAACTGTAACTAAAACCAGGGTTTTACTTTGTAAAAGTAAACTCTCTCAACCCTGGTTTTTACTGACTGAATAAATGTAGATCGGTATTATATATATTATATGTGTCACCAGGTTCATAACGGACCACCACATCCCTCGAATTACGGTTACAGTTACGCCAAGCGACTGATAGACATTGCTAACAGAGGTTACTACGATCAGCACGGCAGATTGTACACCAGTGTCATTCCTTGTAACATATTCGGCCCGCACGACAATTTTCAACCCGCCGCCAGTCACGTGATACCTGGTTTAATGCGACGACTTTACGACTTGTGCAAAGATGGTATGAAAATAAGTTTTACGTATGCATATATACACCCCTGTAAACGGAAAGGAATTAAAATGGATTAAAATTTTGAAATTCATGGATTTAAATTCACTGAAATGGATTGGCTGGATCCATGGAAATGAATGCATTTCTATTATATTTCATAATACGAATAAAATACGTAATATTTTTACTATAATATTAATAGAATATAACATTTTTTGGATTTGATGGATTGAAACAATGAATTTTCTGGTCACAATTTTTAAATAAATAACGTAACGTTCATGGTTCATTTTCATGGAAAACTATATGTTATTATAAACTATACAGGGTGATTTTTTTAACCTGAAACTTTCAAATATCTCGAAAAATAAGCACACTAGGAAAAAATGTTTCAGATAAAAGTTGTAGGGTTTCGAGGGGGACATAAGATGATAACATTGGTTTGACCCTGAGTGGCATTGTCAAGGTCAGGACAAGGTCACTTTGAATTTTTTAAATGGAACCCCCAATTTTTTCATTACACGTTCTTATAGCACGCCTCGAGAACTTTCCAAAAACNCATAAATAAAATATTTTTTATTGAAATAAATCTTGAGTTATGAAGCTTGAAAGTTAGGAGTACTGTCGGCATTAGCATCATCC